CTCTCTCTCTCTCTCTCTCTCTCTCTCTCTCTCTCTCTCATCAAACATAGTAGTAAACCGAGTAGCACAACATTTATTTTCACCACCGCCCATAATCACGTCGATACATGCGACCCCCACTCTGATTCATATACGCTATAAAACACACACCATTCGACGCCGGATGACCTCAAGGTGTTCGATCAGGGGCATTTGGGTCTCCTCCTCTTCCCGCTGCCGGTGTACTTGTCCCTGTAACAGGGGCACTCGTCCTTGTGCCCGTAGGTCCCCGACGGCACGCACCGGCACTGCTCGCAGCACAGCCCGCAGTACTTGAGGCATCGGTCCTTAACGCTCGCCTTGGAGCACCTCACCTTGCACTTGGACCCGCAGAACGCTGAAACCCAAAACAACGACATGAAACGATCAAAATCCATGCATGAGAAATGGTGACACAGAAGACTTGTGTTTGATTATATCTACCTGAGCCTGCCATGGTGGCTTGCAGATAGGAAGAGGTGAAGAGGATGAGCAGAAGAGCTACGATGGCGTGGAGAGGCTTCATATCTGGACCAGGCTACGGAATGCTCACGCGGTGGTATGTGGTCGAAGCGATGCAGGGACTTCCAGAAGAGGCTTGGCTGGCTACTTATAGAAGAGTAGTAAAGGGGAGAGGTTGCAGGTGGGTGAAGTATGAGAAGCATCAGTAATGAAGACGGCAGGACCTTTTGGGCTGGCATCCAGTAAGGGGGAGTCCACTAATGGCGAATATGGGGACAGGTGGAGGGATGCCATACCTCCATGGAGAGCGGGGTAGGACTTCCTTTTAGCTTGGGATGGCCCCATGGAGTTGTGCTCATTCATTGCTGCGTCGGTGGAAGCTTTGCTGCATGTCGTCGATAGGAGGGAGGCACGTGAATGGGGTTTGCTTGCCTTGAAATCTACCATGTTCGGACTCCCAAGAGGGTATTGGCCAGTCGAGGTGGGCGTGATGGTGCGTGCAGTCATTAAAGAGGGAGTCTCCTGAGGGACCCTGCAACATTCTGCTTCCACATCCAGAAGAATCGGTCTGCGAGCTTGGAATCCTAAGATCATGTTGCTAACAACCTCATGCCACTCATCTCGATGGAGATGGAGTGGTCGGATTGGATCATCAGATCCATCCATGTTTGGATTGTCTGAATCGACTCGAATCGAATACACCACCAAATCCAAAACCAAACTCATCATCCGATTGTTAATTCCAATGGGCAAATCAAATGGAATGATGGGTCAACTTGGCCATGCCAGACCGACGAGAATAGCCCACAGTGAAGGAAAAGTTTGATTGTCTACATCCTGCATCTGCATCGGTACAAGGCCTCTAAAGAAACTATAATTCTTTGTTTTTGCTTAGATCTGGAGGATGATTAGAGCCACGTAGAATCCACGCATGTATGCGTGAATGGGAAAGAGAGATGAAAGAAAGACCTCAAAAACACCCATAAATGGATGCATGAGAATAGAAAGTTTCGGAAATTACATCTCGATGTGAATCTTTTGGAAATTATATCCTTCGTCGATGAATTTTCGAGGATAAGATTCGTCCCACTCGTAATCGACTAACGTGGAGAATCAAAAGGATTACTCAACAAATTATCACCTTTGATTTTTCGAATTTTTGCATACTAACTTATTGGTCATGGCGATCATCATGAATCATACTATTTTGGTGGACGAGTTGGGATCAAAAGAGGCCAAGTAGGCATCGTAAGCCATGGACTTCAGCGAGTTTGTCCACTCAGAATATTCCTGTAGCTCCTTCTAGTAGGTGGTAATGTTTTACCTTAGAATAATATTATTTTTCATATGCAGTTTCTTTCCTTTTTTTTTTTAGATTTTGGGGAACTGAAAAAATGATCAAACTGATTTTTCTTGCAGAGGAAAACATAAAAATTATGGAGAGAGATAAAGTTAAAAGAAGGGAGGAAATATGAACAATAGAGAGAGAGAGGACAAGTGAAGAATTTTGTGTCGTTCAGTTTACTGATCCTTTGTGATTTGTTCTCTTTGTGACTATGTAAATAACCTAATCTTTCAATGGAAATCGCAAATGAGAGTGATCAGCAATAGTATGACCAGGGTTGCAAGCGATGATAGTCCTCCCTCGCGTGAGGATCAATAAGTGACAAGCCCTTGCATGAGAGTTATGTACAGTAGTGTATGGTGAAGGCGATGACAAATCCAATGAAAAACATATTTTTAAAATTTATTAGGGATAAATTAGTCCAATGATGTGTTATGAAAAATTTTCTGAGACTCTATTTGAGTAATTCTGAAACTTAGAAACCTTTTCAAAAATTCATGTGTGTGTCGGCATTCATATACATATATATATATATATATATATATATATATATATATATATATATATATATATATATATATATATATATATATATATATATATATAT